TATATACTATAATCACCTAGAACTGTCATGTTTTCATTACCTTACAATTAGCTATTTTTGTTTACAGAGGGAACGGGTCCACTTTTACAAAGTCTGCCACGTTTCTACAGTGGCCCAGAATGGACAAGCCAAACACTGGCTCGAGATAGAGCCTTTCACATTTTTCATGTTTTGAAGACACTATAGACACTGTAAGTTTCACTCGCTTCACCCTCCCTTTCCAAGTGCGAGGGAGAAACTACGGTGGCCCTATATAGAGCGTTTTGGATTGACCGTTCAACATGGCGGCCTCCACAGAAGGCGACCCGCATCGTCTGTAGCTCATTCTAAGGTACCGAAAACACAATTCCTATATTCAGGTGATTATACACTAATGAAAACATATTGTTTCTATGAATATTAATATATAATATTTCTGCCAAAAGATCCTTCTAAATGTAACACACCAGACCTTAAAATAAAGTCAATATTTGGTTGCAAATCCTTTGTTGTCAATAATTGTCAAACATGAGCAGATACTTGCTATCTTCCCTGATGATGTTCCAACTGGTCTGATCCCTTTGATCCATGTCAAGTGACTGACTTAGCCAATCAAGAATATTACCCTGTTTGGCAGCAGAGCTTGGCATGCTGCATTATGTGCCTCTAAAGCTGAATAGCAGCAATTAAAGTTCATAGTCATTGTTTCACTTCAAATAAAATATACTGGAGTAGAGCCGAAGTAGTAAAGACCAAAACACTGTCCTGACACTCTCTGACTGTGCTGTGCAGTTGTATTATGTAGGAAGATGTAAAGGTTGGATCAGACCTCAGTATTGACAGAAACTCAATATCCAATTACTCATGTATTTTGTTATCAGGAGATTACAAGCTATTTCATAACTCATATGAATAAAGTTTTGGAAGCGCCCTTCCTTTGTTTTCTTTTGGGTTCATTTATTCACTCAAAGACACACGAAATACTGACAACTGGCAGCGAGCCTACATTTAAATTACCTGCACCAAAGTGATAATGGCTCATTGAAAACTTGTCATATACTCTCTAATGCCAACTATTCTTTCCCATTTCACCAGTGCGCTCATGGAGTGTACGCCTTTTTAATTTAGAACTTGTATAGCTAAGGCCCTCTGTGTTTTCATCTTCTGCTTTTTTTCCCCCCATCTTTCCCTCTCTCTTGCCTGGAGGACAGCACTTAGAACCCTGCAAGGCGAGAGGTTGGGGGGAAGCAGTCAAGCAGGAGAGATAAATTACTGTGGCAACACAAGTTTCCCTCTAAGTGCTCTAAATGACATATAAGATGCAGTCAGTAATGACTTTTTTATTCTCCACAGCATAAGCAGATTCTGGGTTCATTAGTGAGATTATCCGCCTGTCCTCTTGAGATGCATCACCCCCTGAGAACCAGACTAGCAACACACACACACACACACACAAACACACGCTAAGTTTCTCCTTCAGTTAAAGAGTGAAAGAGACCAATTACATGCCACTTGCTCCAGTTATTGTTCTGCTTAATATGGCGGTGTTGAAATATAGCTCCATTTAAAATGTATTAACAATGTATACAACCCTCTGAGGAGAGAAATATAACACACCAAGGCAGATATTATTTCATTACATTTGTTACTGAAGTCAGATTTGACTTTAAAGATTGTCACAGCGGATTAGATAACTGGCATAGTGACAAACCCAAAAAACGTCCTGCTAGCCAGGCTAGCTAGCTAAGCATTCCTTTAAAGTTACATGTACTTTGTAGGCACTGACTATTACCACGTATATAAAACTAAGTAAGACCAGAAAGATCAAAAGTCACATGTTGACAGATCTGCCTATGGTTTTTGATGACCATATTATCAGATGGATGAATACACAGAATAAGAATGTCCTCTCTGTAGGAAGAACCGGTTTCAAACTGTCCCAATTCCTGAGAATCATTTAGCTGCGTTATCAACTTCTCAAATCATTTCCTGAAAACTGCAAACAATGGCAAAATGTCAGGAGGGAAACTTTTTGGTCTTCATGTTAGACAGGCAGCGTTTATTTATAGTTTGACTGGTTGTACGTGATGCCTGCTGTTTCAGTAAGACAGTTTTGTTTTTCCGCAACAGAGATTAAACGTCCTGTGTGTAACATCTATTGGCAGAAATGGAATATAATATTCATTAGTATGTATTCATTAGTGTATAATCCCCTGAAAATAAGAGGAAGAGGTCCTGTTTTACAGAGTCAGCCATGTTGAACTGCCATGTTTCTACAAAACGGACAAACCAAACATTGGCTCTAGATAGGACCTTTTGCGTATTTCACGGCCACCATAGTTTCTCCTACACGCTTAGAAATGAAGGGCAATGCGAGGGGCATTCAGTTGGTTGCAATCTGCAACTTCACCGCTAGATTCCACTAAATCCTACACACTAGTCCTTTAAGTGTCTGTTGTTATAAAAAAAAAAAAAGTTCTATCTTTTAAGATCAAGTNNATCCTACACACTAGTCCTTTAATAATTTAAGCTAAACTTAAGCACATATGTACTATTTTTCCACTTTTTCCTTCCTAAATATTGTGTTTTTATAATGTCTTTTCACTAAACTATAACTTTTTGTAATTAAAAATGTCCACAAAAAATGTTGTAGTTCATAGTAATAAAGTACTAATTTACAATAACAATAAATACATATTACTTATTTATTTATTGAAAAAAAAAAAAATTAAATCAGGGAAATCATATCAGGAGAGATGAAAAACAGTAGCACTAGTCCACTCTACCATGCTTTACTCACCGGTCTGAACTTTGGCCTATGTTCTGATCACATGGGAGGGGTCTGTGAGCGTCTGGGCCTGGGGACACAAAACAACCACCAGCTCTCAATAGTTTAACTAAAAAGAAAGGCTTCAGTTTGGGGTCACTAGGTATGCTTCTTAAAAAAAGAAGAAAAAAGGTAGAAATCATGCATCTTTGCTTTGATCTGCACTTCATATAAAATTTTAACACTGAGTATACTATCATGTCCAATACCACACATTTCAACAGTGTACTTCAGGCTTATCTCAACAATTTACCTTAGAGATGCAGGAGTGGGTGATTTCTTGGCATTTTTGCTTAAGAAATGTCATAAAAAATAATAATCTACAAAGCAGTTAATTAACTAATCATGTCAGCTTTTTCTTATCTGCTCACCTGTGCTTTTGCCGCTCTGATTTGTTTTTGAGGGGACTTCTTTTGCGGGACTGTCTTCCTTCTCCTGAAGCACCTCTGACACCAGAGCCATCAGCTTCTCCAACCTCACCAGCTCCTTCTGCATCTCTATCTTTTGCTGAATGAGGAGAAAACAAAGTAAAGTAGAACACCTTATTACAAATGAGTCATACATTTTAAGAAAATGCAAGGGGAGGGGGGGGGGGGTNNGGGGGGGGGGGGGGGATAAGAGGAAAAAGGAAAGCCGCAATGCAACATTTACAACAAAAATAAATAAATGAAGGGAAACATAGTGGCTGCATATTTGATGTCTTGCACTTGACGTACGAAAACAATAAGAACTGTCAATCAGTGAGGAGGGAACCACACTCAGTTAGAGCCAGTTAGTCATTACTGGAAGGGAATGGGTGCTTTTCCAGCCAGACAGCACTTAGTGAGGAGAAAACATGGCAGAATAAGAGACAAGGAAGGTGATTATATGAAGTGACAACAGCTTTTCAACTGGTGGTTATTTGGAAGAACAGAGTGTATTGGTTTAAAAAGTCTGTCTCTTTCAATTCTTCACCGAACTAATACTCTGAATTTCACCCTTTCATCCAGCGCGAGTGCATTGATTATGTATACAGGCACACAAACACGCAGCGCAATAATACAAAACCTCTGTATTCTCAGATGTGTGTAATCCAGGGCCTCTTTCTAAACCCCAGGGCGTGAAACTTGAACTCCCCAGTCAAATACAGTCGACAGATAAAAGTGAGAGCGGTGGAAGATGGATGAGGTAGAAAACAAGAATCATCTCCTAGGCGGCATTTCCTCTAACGTAAATGAAATGCAATTTAGAAAGCTGCTGAGGGGGACATTTTTTACTGAGCGAGGTAGTCTGTCATCCAGGAGCTGACAGTTTGGTTTGGGAAAAGTGCGGTGGCTGCCCTCTCTGGGGCGTAACGTGACAGTGCATCACTGGGTGCACAAAGCAACCAGGTAATTCATACACTGAATTAGATGTTATTTTTCTAAAACAATGTATTTCTTACAGCTGTGAATAAAAACGTAATTGAATACATAGTCACATTTACCTGCGTAACAAGGACTTCGCTTGAAAATTGTGATGATTCCATGGAAACAATGGGTTCATTTACTGGAACATCACCTGCAGAGAGCAAACAATCAAACTGCTTTGTCTAAATGCTTTTTTCCCCTCCCACCGACAGACAAATTGTAACAGTAGGAAACAACACAGTAAGCACATCTTTGGCAGAGTTATTGTATTGCTTAATCTCTGCAGGCTGTAAATCTAAAAAAAAATAAAAAATAAAAAATAAAAGGCTATTTTGGTTAGTGAGAATCAACTTACATTCATCTGGCGTGCCAAACAAGTCCACAGACGCCTGGCTGGAATTAACGCAGTCAGGGCTGGGGCACGCAGGTGGACGGCTCGACTGTTGTGCCCCATCAGCTGTAACGCCCCCACATCTATTAGCCTCACTGGAGTCGCCCTGTTCCTGGATCACAGCAGAGGGACGAGCGGATGTTCCGAAGATTTCAGTCAAAGTTGGTAATTCATCTTCACTACAATCTGACGAATCGGATGATGACTCGAGCCTCTGGGCCCGCGTCCTCTTCCGGGGCTTGCTCTTGATGGAGGAATGGGCGCTGAGCTCTCCACTACCCCGGCTGTGTGATCCTGCTTCATGGACAACTGGCATTCCAAGGCCATCAGGAGTTAAAGAGGACTCTGCATTTAAAACACTTTCAGCAGTGTGGACTGTATGTTTTTCACTGGCAGATGAACTGCGCACCAATATGCTGTCTCCTGTCTCCTCCACTTTGCGGGCCTTGTACAACGTACAATCAAGGTGATTCTCTGTAATTTGAAAACAATCTGAGGGTTCTTTTAGCTCCTCGCGTTCAACGGCTGTGAAGCAGAGCCTGGAATCTACGACTTGAGGTACAGCAGAAAGATGAGGACTTTCTATTTCATGTTTTGACACTTTATTAGGAGTAAGGACGCTACTAACACTATTCCTGGAGAGACAGTTACCATCAGCACGATCCTGACCTGAACAGCTACTATCAGAGAAAGAGGCTTCTACCACCACTTGATCTGGTTTCTTGACAACTGTTCTTCTTGTCAGGCCAGGTGAGTTAGAAGGGGAGATCAAATCACTACAAGATGAGTTCTCATTGACTCTTAATGCCTCTTGGCTGGGAATTTCAGATACCTTTGTGTAAATCAGATTTTCTGCAGATTCAGCATCAGACCAGTTCTCCTCCGCTTCAGCACCCTGCATGTTTTCTTGGTCTGAACTACACCTCCTTTTCACTTTTGGACAACCAAGATGGAAAGATTTCCTTTTAGTGGCTTTGAAGCTCCTGAGCAGCTGCTCTGTGTCCAGTTCGCTGTCATTGTTATCCTCCTCGTTTTCTATAACAACACATTTAGTCTCGCAAGCTGAAGTCTCAATCTGTAGATTTTTTGGGAAAGGATTTGTTGGATTGTCACTTTCAAGTGTTGAATTTATCACAACTGCAGCAGTTGGACTTACAGAGCTTGGGACAACAGGGACATAACAAGCAACACCAGCTTCAGACAAAGTTTCAGCATTTGGCACTTCAGCAATGGACTCTTCAGCATCTTGTGTTGGTCTCACATAAGACGTTTTGTCACCAGACTCAATGTTTTCTATTTCTCCTAAATCTTGATCATAAATACATCCGTTTCTTTCAGCCACCTTTGTTGTTTTTCCACTCTTAAGTGATGCCGTATTATCCAATGATACCCCTTTAGCGTCCTCAGATTGCTTAGCAAAATCTTTGTCTTTTTCAGGTATTTTGGCTTTCAAGTGTGCTTTCTTGTGACCTTCCTGGACTTCCTCAGTGAAGACTTGAAGTCTTCTACTTCTCCTGGTGCTCCTCATGAGAGGGGTTTCTTGGTCCTCGCTGCTAGGGTAATTCTCAATATGAACTTGAACTTCTTCTGACCTTGGTCTAGTCTTAGGACTGGTTTCTCCATTTTGAACTCCAACCAGAACAAGGGGTTTCGGCACTCTTGCGGGCTTGCCTTTTTCCGACCTTATGTTTTTACCTTTCCTCTTGTCTGTTTTCTTTTGATCAATACTTTCTGACTTTGCCTTAGTTTGCTCTAGCAAATCACTGTCAACTTGCTGCAGAGTGTTTCGTGACCTTTTCTTTGACTTACTTTCTGGTTGCTGTTGTCCAATATCAGATACAGGATAAGGAACCTCATCTTTGCCATTATTTTTGTCACTTTCTGACAAATTGTTCAACGTTTCCCCATATTTGTCTATACCATTTTCCTCCATCTGTTCTGCTTCTTTAAAAATGTCACTACTGGTGTCCTTTACTTCTTCTATCGTTTGTTGCTCTTCTTCCATACCGCTTTCACTTTTATCTTCAGAGTTTGTTTTCTTGACAAAATCCGCAGGAGTGAGAGTGTTCTTCTTCCTTCTTCTGGAAACTGTGTCAGGGATTGTTTCTTTAGGTTTTTGTGGTTCAACAAAAACATTAGGTGGCGGGGAGATGAGCCTGCTCCCTCTTCGCTCTCGTTTGTAGACGGCCCCAAACACCTGCTCTTCAAGGGCTTTAGCACGATCCAACCTCCTAGGATTCACGTCACAATTTTGTTGCTGGACATCTATCGTTGAAGCGGAAGAACAGCTGTCAGAGTCATCTGTGTCTTCGTTGGGTTTCTCCAACTCAAGACTTCCTTCAGCTGGAACTTTCATGAGCCACTCAGCAACTTTCTCTAAACTTTTCTTCCGTTTCTGATCAAGAATCTTGTCAGGCTCCAAATCCTTTTTCTGCTTCTTCCTTGAGGACTTTCTGAAAGGTTGGCTTTCGGTCTCGTCTGGAATTAATGATGAATCAGGAGACGCTTTCTCCAATTTGGGAAACGTTTTGCGTGTTGATGTTGCCTTTTCCACAACTTTTGACATTTCTGTTTCCATTGGTTCGAAATTATCAGTAGGGCTGTGCATTTTCTTGTCAGAAGTTGGTGGGGCCTCCCCTAGGCCACTGTCCAGGCCTTCATTTTCTTCTGTCGTCAAAGGACTATTGTCAAGTCCCATAAGTCTTGCAAATCCATTCTGGGCTAAAGGAGAATGGGAAATGACAAATAATTAACCTTTTGGAAAACAAAACACTTTTTAAATGAATAATTTGTAACCTCAAGTGTTGTCTACCACTGCATACTACTACATACTACTAGCTTTTAAATAAATAAATAAAAAAAAATCTGCCAATGAATATGAGGTGAAAAGATGAACCACCATACAAGGCCTCATGATTGTACCTGCTATAGTTGAAGAGTGAGACCTTGGAAGATCATTGTCGGCATTTTCCACATTGTCACAGTCAGTGTCAGGTGTATCTCTAGATGACATATCATGGTGATGTTTAGTAGCATCAGAATCTGTGACTCTGGGCAGAGGGAAAATACAAGTTGAGCTAATATTGTGAATCAATTAGCATCTGCATTATTTAAAACAAGAAGTTAAATGTTAATGTCCAAATTTCTTACCCCGATTGTCCGTTCTGCTGCGACATTCCAGTAAAGTCTGAAAACATGAACATAATGTTAGGTAATGCAACGCAAGTTAATTAAATAAAAGTCATTTTAAGAAGTCTGTGATGTAGTCTTACAGTTTGTGCCAGTGTCATGTTCATATGCCTGTATCATGTCCTGCAATCCTGCTACAAGTGTCTGAAACCCCGGGCTCTCCTGCAGGCTCCTGTATAAGTAAAGAAAATGCATGTGTTATGATAATGCAAAAGTATTAAAAAATAATCAACATTTTATTAAATGTATCCAACCTTTTGGTTATCTTGGCTTTACACACTGGACAGTTAGCCCTGTTTTGTTTGGTGTTGTCCAAAAGTTTCATCATACAAAATCTGGTGTAAAAGAAAAACACATATATTGTTTGTAAGTGCATGTAAAAAGAATATTAAAATGTCACTTTCTTTAGCAAAATGAGGAGTAATGGGACATTAATTACTTGCAAAACTGGTGGTCACACTTTGTGGATACAGGTGCAGTCATTAAATCCAAGCTACAGTTGAAAGAAAGTATGAAGTAAGTAAAGAGCATGAATTTAATAATTTAATTAACCAAAAATAGTTAAAATAGTATAAATGCAGTAGATTCTGTTTATTTAACTTCTTGCTCAGAATGACACTCACCATATGGGACACTGCAGAGTCTCCCAAAGGACCGAAATGCCTTGTTTGACATCTGTGGCCTTTGGGGTTTTCATTGTGAAAACTTCAAATGAAAAACAGAGCACACACACAGAGACTGTAAACAACACACTCCTTTCAAAACTATTAGACATAAACAGTGAGCATGTCACTGGTAGAGTTGGTATTTGTTGCCATTTAGCCATCCTTATAGCAAACACAGCTTAATTCAGTGATGGGGAATGTAGTAGCACGGATACACAGTGCATGAGTGTCATCTAAACTACCAAAAACAAAATATTTACTCTGTCAAATTTCTCCAAAATATCCAAAACTGAATGCCAGCTGAAACTGTAGTTATACTGTCTATTATCAAGCAAGGCGCTCTCATGTGACTGGAAATAACTGGACAACAGGGTTTACACACATGAGCAGATACTAAAATATATATCAAAACTTGTATTTTTTGTTATATAATTACTTGAATGGCTTTCGTTGGGTTATGACAATTGTATAACTGTGTGCACTTTGATCATGCCACATTTACTGTCCATATAGACTTTATTGTTATCCAGGTAGCAGGTTATAATGCGTTATTTATTAAAGGTTAATAAGGCTACTGCAGTATATATTGGCTGGCTTACATACATGCTCAAAACTGGTTATGCAGCACGAAATCCTTCTTGTTGTGCTCTGTATTTAATATGTAGTAGGCTCAATAAGATCATCATTATTGCAAAAGTCTAAAAGGAGACTTCTTATCAGTGGATAGAGTTGGTAACTTAATAAAGCAGCAAAACAGGTGATAAAACACAATATCCCACTAACATCAGTCACAATTAACACTCTGGAAATGTTCAGTAAGCATATTGTAACGTTATAAAACCTAATTTCATGTTTACGTTCAGTGTCAGCAGCTTAAATTGGCAGCTAATCATTTGCTGCTCTGGTTTATTGTGAGAAGTTAACTTACACAACTAACGTTAACACTCCTGAGATAAAAACAATCGACGCCCATATGTCGACAGAGCAAAGTGCAACTCACTTATCAGACCACAGTTGGTGAAATGTCGCTGGTTAATTGTAAATAAAATGTTTACCTTGTTTTCTAACAGTTCAGTTATCAACACAGGAAACATCCGCTTCAGTTTTCCCGCAACTAGCGTCTTCTTCTGCTTTTGTTTTAATGGTTGTTTGTCGGTAGTGTTACAGCGCCGCCCACTGGTCAGGAAGGTGAACTGCAGCCCTAGAGGGTCTGTGTGATACAGCAGTGTTTTATTATTTAGGTGTGAAGCGTATTGCATTCACTTTAAATTTTTATTTTTTGGTTTGTTTTTTTTGAATATTTTTTTCTGTTTGTCTGACTAATTTTTTCCCCCTGTTTTTCTGAGTAAATATTTTTCTGTTTTACGGAGTAATTTTTCATGTTTTTCTAAGTAATTATTTTTCTGTTTTACGGAGTAATTTTTCCTGTTTTTCTAAGTAATTATTTTTCTGTTTTACGGAGTAATTTTTCCTGTTTTTCTGAGTAATTATTTTTCTGTTTTACGGAGTAATTTTTCCTGGTTTTTTGGAGTTTGTTTCCATTAAATCGGGCTCTCAATAAAGGAATGAATGCGTCTATTGTTTCAAATGCTCTCTAAACTCAGAAAAAAAATTAGTCAGAAAACAGAAAAAAAAAATAATTCAGAAAATCAGAAAAAAATTACTCCGAAAAACAAACCAAAAAATAAATTACTCAGACAGAAAAACACAAATAATTACTCCGAAAAACAAACTTTAATTAAAAAAAAATAATAATTTTCAAGTGAATGCAACACGCTTGCGTACAGGTGTCTGTGACATTTACAGGAAAAATAAATGTATTGTTCATAGGCAACCAAAGATACAATAGCCTATGGATTCAGTGATTGTATTTGTTAAAATCAAAGTAATGGAGTATCTTCCAGCTGCTGAATGTAAGCGTTTCCATCTTTCAAGCGAGTTTCCTCCACGATTACAAAAATTAATCCAAAGATGTGATTGGATTTCACATCAGTAGAGGGTGACAACTAAAGTAATATATCTTAACTAATCATTTTTTGGAGGCGTAATATTACAACTGTAATTAATTAGTAATTAGTACACTACTTAGTTACTGGGAAGAGTAATTGTATTACTGTCATATTATAACTAGTAATGAGTTACTGCCCAACACTGCTTGTCAGTATAGCTGGATGTATTTTTACATGTATTTTCTTTTGTGTAATGTTCTATGATTTGATTTAGCTACATTTTTGTATTTATGTATTTTAGCTATACTGCCTCTTAATGTTTAAATCCTATTGTATTTTGATAGGTGATATCATTTAGTTAGGGTCACACATTTGTTCTCTTTATACTTTATATCAATTCTTTATTAACAACAGAACAACAAACAGACTGTCAGAGTCTGACGCGACCCCCACGTGACCCCCACACGTTTAACCAGACGTCACGTCCGCCGTAAACAACAATAAGGAAGTGGAGGGAGAAGTCCGAGGTGCAAAATGCAGCATATGCAAATACATTAGAGGCCATTTGTTGTTGTCGTGTGCAAGTCAGGATTATTATGCAATAGTTTTTATTCTTCACAAGCGACAGTGAGTCTGTGGTATGTTTTTAAACCCTTGATATATGTCACACACAAGCAAGCGGCACAGCTAATGGGAACTACCCTGCTGTCTAGCAGTTTAGCAAACGGCTCTCTAACGTTAGCGGAGAGACTAGCGGGAAACTTTTAGTAGAGAAAAATGCTTTCGAGCTGCCCTTAATCTAAACTTATTAACAGTGTGCTTTCATTTCTCCACACGTCTCCCTGTAGCTAGCGATGGAGGGCTCCAAGTCGTCGAGTACAACCATGCAGGTCAGCTTCGTGTGTCAGCGGTGCTGTCAGCCGCTCAAACTGGACACCTCCTTCAATGTGCTCGATCGAGTCACAATCCAGGAGCTGATTGGTGTGTACGCCCGTAAATCTAATCAAATATCGGGGTTATGGTGCGGAACATGTTGGAAGTGCTCCGTCTGTCGTGTAGTGACTCTTATGTGTGTGTGTCTGTCCTCCTCAGCTCCGTTGGTCACAGTGACTCCCAGCAAGCCGGCTGACAGCACTGAGGGAGGGACAGCACCAGAGGTAGGTACACACACACACTCTGATGTCCTTCAGTAGACTGCTCAGGAGGAGTGATACATACAGCACCTTTATGTGAGCCCAGATCACTGGAATTCATCTGTGCTGTTGTGTTATGCAACTGTTCTGCACCCTTATTGTTCAGCTCCTGTGTCCACTCTGTGTGTATGGGCACATGCAAGTCATGTGATAAAACTTTTTCCCTGAGCCCAAAATCACAGACTGCTGGGATAAAACCGTGGTGTCGGGGAAACTGTTTACATGTGGATCATTATGGCAACTGCATTAGTGGCTATAGTCTTTACTTATATAGCCACAGAAAGCGTAATAAGAACGTATAATTAAGTGTCATGGCTCTGTGTTAGTTACCAAAAACATGTGTGAATAAACTTGTAAGCTGCTGCATATTCTGTAGAAATGTAGCTTGTTAACGCCATGTTTCTGTATATTCTCCAGCTTTATGCAGTAAACAGATGTGATGCGATAAGACGCCACGTCTTTTTGATTCTTGAAAAGCCCAATGTAACAACAATTTGTTACTCCAGTTCAGTGTGTGTGTGTGTGTGTGTGTGTGTGTGTGTGAAAATAGCAAGCATTTCTGAGCTTCAGAATTACATTTCCCTTCCAGGAGACCTTTGTAGAAAACAAGCAAGATGGAGTGTCAAGAAAATACATCCCTCCTGCACGGTGAGTCTTTTATGATTACAGTTTATAGCTGTTGATTCTCTTTTTAGTTGGATGTTTGACAAAAATGACTGAAGTGCTGAATCTTGCCCTACAGGATGATGTCCACAGAGAGTGCAAACAGCTTCACACTGATTGGAGAAGCATCTGATGGTGGCACCATGGAAAACCTTAGTCGTAGGCTGAAGGTAAACTCTTACAGCTGAAAAACAAACAAACACTTTGTTTGGATGAACTAATGGTTGTGATCTATGTCAGGGAACTGTTGTCCTCTGACTATCTGTTAGTGAACGCTTTTGTCTGTGATCCTACCCCACCCAGGTGACCAGTGACCTGTTTGACATCATGTCGGGCCAGACGGATGTGGACCACCCGCTGTGTGAAGAGTGTACTGACACCCTGCTGGACCACCTGGACACACAGCTCAACATCACAGAGAACGAATGCCAAAATTACAAGTGAGTTAAATCCTCTATGTGTCAGCTTTCAATCAAAGAGATTTCCAAGAGATGGAAGACGCTGCTTGTGTCACTCCCTGCGACCCTGGCTTGGTTAAGGAGCTGATTCCAAATGTCTGCTTACGTGTATGTAATAACATTTACCGTATTTTCAGGCAGTGTCTGGAGCTGCTGTCACACCTGCAGGTGGAGGAAGAGGAGACCCTGCTGGCAGAGCTGCAGCAGCTGAAGGAGGAGGAGGAGGCTCTGGTCCAGGAGCTGGAGGCAGTGGAGGACCAGAGGGCTGCTGTGGCCCAAGAACTAACCCAGAGCAGGACGCACTCTCAGCAGCTGGACACGGAGGAGCTACAGTGAGTGACCCGTAGACAGGTGACATGTTCTGTACGCTAAATGATGCAGCAGCTAACAGCTCCGTCTTTTTCAACTAACTTTGTGCTAAAAGGTACCAAAAGGAGTACAGCGAGTTTAAACGGCAGCAGCTGGAGCTGGACGACGAGCTGAAGAGTGTTGACAACCAGATGCGTTACTGTCAGATTCAGCTAGATCGCCTAAAAAAGACCAACGTCTTCAATGCCACATTTCACATCTGGTAAACACACACACACATATTGTGTACGCTAAGAATAAATAACTTATTTTTCTGACAATCAATCACTTAGCAAATAGTTATTATAGGCATCCAGGACTAAATTGAATCAATGCCCATTGACGGAGAATCTGAATTGTTTGTTTCTGTTCAGGCACAGCGGCCAGTTTGGAACAATCAACAACTTCCGTCTGGGTCGGCTCCCCAGCGTCCCAGTGGAGTGGAATGAGATTAACGCAGCCTGGGGGCAGACGGTGCTGCTGCTGCACGCTTTGGCTAACAAAATGGGGCTGCGCTTCCAGAGGTATACACACACACACGCACACACACACTTCAGTTTGTTTGCAATTTGCATTGTATTAGCCGACTGATTAAGTTTAAAATGTGTTTTTCAGTTGAATCTCATCTGCAATACATATTCATTTAGTCATGTGTCCCTGAAAATATTTAGTGTAACAATCTTTAGTTTGTTTTTTGCTCTCATACACGTTTACACCCTCCGCTAATAATAATTTTAACTCCTCTTCCATTTCAGTTTACAGGTTTTGTTTGTGTTCTTTGGCTCTCCTCCATGTGCTTTCTGTTTTATTAACATTCAATTACTCAGTGCTATTGTATCTTAGCATATAATCTTCATTTTCTTTCTGTTGCTTTGTTCTTTGTTTTACCTCAGTTGCTCAGAATTAATGGATCCTGAAGTTTTATTACAAATATCTTGTATTTTTTACCATCACATTAATGTTATTCCTCAAATCAACATAAAATTAAGCTTATGCAACACTTCTCTTCTCTCTTCAGATACCGTCTTGTCCCATACGGAAACCACTCATACTTAGAGTCACTGACAGACAAGTCCAAGGTAATACATAACAGTATTCTCAAGCCCAGCTCTCCCATCATCATTTATACACTCTTCCAGGCTCAAATCCTGCCCTTTCTTCCTTTTTGTCTCATGTTTGTCCAGGAACTTCCTCTGTACTGCTCAGGTGGCCTGAGGTTCTTCTGGGACAATAAATTCGACCATGCCATGGTGGCCTTTCTGGACTGTGTCCAGCAGTTCAAAGAGGAGGTGGAAAAAGGAGACACAGGATTCTGCCTTCCATACAGGTCGGATACCTGCAGGCCTGCACGTTGTGTACATTTGTCCTCATGCTCATTAACCAGGGCATTATAGCAGCCATTTAAGATGAAGCTGTAAATATTTATGAAGTTTGAATAGAAATTCTAAACCATTACCTCAACTTATTCTGGAGGGGCTGGAGAACTGTGTCTGCTGTGATTATTCTGCTCAGGCAAATAAGGGACATTTGGGAAAGCTTTGGCTGAATAACCCTTTCAATTATTAAAGCTAAGCCTCCATTGCAACTTTTACTAATATATTTACTAGTCTAACTAGCCTTATAAAAGCTCACAGTACCTCCAGCAGTCTCCTCTGACAGCCCAACAAAGTCCAACAAAGTTATCGTTATATTTTTGTATGGCACAATTTATTATGTTCATTAACTATGCTGACAATACTGTATGGTGTTTGGTTAAACCCTGTAATACAGTGAGTACCACAGACTTTAAGGCTTGACATAATAACATGGTTATTAGTTAGAGGGATGTCTGATCTAGACGGCAGCAATCAAACCTCAGATCATACCGTGATATTCCTTTATATTCTAGTGTACATTTCCTGGTCTGTCCAAAGTTTTGATCCAGATGAATGTTTGTCGACAATTACTGGTTGGTTTGCCATTAAGATATGATATGATTATTCCTATGGATTGTGGTGAATGGTACTCATTACAGGGATGGATCAATTTCTAATGAAACAAAGTCTCAAGGTCAGAGCATGCAGCAACTAAGGGGGTAGCAGACAGACTGCAAGTGGTCACAGTAAAAAAAGAAGAAAGGTACAAGATAAAGCAAAGGAAATTTAAAGAAAAATTTAGAACTTATTCTAATTTTTTATTATTATTTGTACCTATCAATCACTCTCCTCCAACACTCTCTTATTGTCTGTGTCCTGCCAGTGTAGCTCCCATGAAAAAAAAAGTGTGGGCCACTGCTTCAGAGCAATCATCAGATCAAAATCTTTACCTGCACACAGCAAATGTCTAATGGAAACTGTGTCATGAAATACACCAAACACAGTACATCCTTTTTCATTTTGGACTCAGGTCTAAATGTCATCTTATGTCAATGTCAAGTATTTCCTTATCTAATTGGCAAATTTGTTTATTGAGGTAGCACCTTGCTTAAGTAGTAATCTCCCTTCAGGCTCTTTTTTCCTCTATCAACAAGATCTTTTAAACCCTGTTATTTTGTCACATCTGGTGGACACAGACTTGTGGTTGAGGAGTATTTGGTCAGATTTAGATGTGATCAAGACTCAAGATCACCACAGCTACAAAACAGAAATTCAGACTTCATTATTGGGGTCAACTGGTCAAAAACATTGTTTTCAGAAATGATGTCTTCGAATCTAATCACTAGATTTGTTTAGCACGTACACTACTGTTCCTACTATCTATAATATTGATACCAGTACATCCACCAGGCCTTATGTGATTGATGATTGATGTTTCATTTCTCAGGATGGATGTGGAGAAGGGCAAGATTGAGGATACGGGAGGCAGCGGTGGCTCCTACTCCATCAAAACCCAATTCAACTCTGAGGAGCAGTGGACAAAGGCACTGAAGTTTATGCTCACCAACCTGAAGTGGGGACTGGCCTGGGTCACATCACAGTTCTACAACAGATAAACCTGCTGGACAATGCCTTGTAATGTTTAGTTTTGTAAAGTCATGTGCCCCTCCGATAAATGGATTTTGAGTGATTCTTATTTGGATACTTGGCCAAAGAAAATGGTTGTGTCCGCACCATTTTGCAAGTATTTTTTTAGGATTTCTAGTACAAAAATGCATGGAGCAATATCTAGATCTTCAGTCCAAATTGTCAGTTTTTACATGTTACAAAGTGGAAATAATTTCTATCTATTTTGCTGCACAATGCAGATTAGAAATTGTGGGACAACGGTGGAAGCTTTGAGGATTGTAGTCACGTCCCCCAAAGTGAGCAGGATAACTACACGTCTGTCTTTGAGTTTCTTTTTTTTATCGTTTGGCTAATTAATATCTGGCTTTTTCTGAAAAGCTGACGTTGCATTAACACAATTTCACACTTCCTCAGCTTCGAATGTAACTTAAAAGAAATCAAACTCACTTCTTATTACCACTTCATCAAGGTATCCTTGCTCTCCTGCACTGCACACCTTTGAAATCACTGTGAGGAAATTTCTTTTTGTCAATGTCCCAATTATATAAGCTGTAAGAGCATGATGTGATAATTATGGTCAAGGTAGGATATTTTTAATAGATTAAAAAGGTTTAGTATTCAGCGGGTATGTCAGTATTTCTTTAACCTTGAATGCGGTTATCACATTTGCCAGTTACACACTTCACAGGTAAACTGTTGTATTTAGAGGTACACTGATGCAGCTTCTTTGTGTTCATACTCTGCACCATCACATGAATTTGTCTGTTTTAGATATGAAGGATACTTTTAGTGGTTGGACTTGAGTTAATAAACATGTCATGCTGTGTAAAAAAAAAAAAAAAAATCTGGTGTGGAGATTTTCTTATAGATTAAATGTATTTATGTAATTACAAACATTGAGACACGTTCATGTAACTGCATCATGGTATCCTACTGACAAAAGTGTGGATGATTAAATTCATAAATACCCAGAATGGAAGTGGCTCTTAAAAAAACCAAACATCTGTAAAGTATTTTTGTGTGATTTACAATAAATGTGTATTATTTCCCAAATCAAATAAGACACTGCAGTTAACCAAATGTTTTTTAATGGTTTGATAATTATTTCTGTTGAATCTTAACTCTCATAACAACACTCACTCATAGTCAGCCCCCCTATAAGGTTAACAAAACATTACAGGGGGTACATTTCTTGGAAAAATATGGACTTAACAATTAAAATAATAAGCTGACTTCCAGTTATCCAATAAAATATTCAAAATAGGTCAAAACCAGTTACTCTTTCCAGAATCAGCCCTCTTCTGTGTCAAGACGTGAACCTCGAATGGTGCCATGTCAACAAGGCAGGCCTTGAACTTTGGTCATCAGTCATTCCTTATTACTTGTAGAAGCCCTTCCTAAAAGTCCCAGATTCAAACCTTATAGGGATACATATTTAAAAGTGACCACTCTAGCTCTGAAAAATAGTTTGTTAGATGATATATTTCAAGCAGAATGCAATGAAATTTCAACAATGCTTCTTCTAAACCTTTCAGAGGACAGGCAGATGGTCTTCCACGCATGGTATACTTCTCAGCCTGTCACTTGTGCAATTTTTTGGGTGCTTTTACTATTCATCATGTAAAAAAGCCCCCTGAAATGAGCCAAAGTTTTTGTGTTAGTGCATGCATATGGGCAAATCTTTGGGTTCTACTGAGCCCACAGCCATTGGGATTGGCCCTTCATTTTAACCACTTGGATGATGGTGGTGGGCCCGTTTACTACTACATCACCACGCCATCCATCATTTTGGTTCCATACACACTTTTAGGATTCCTACACCCCGTCATGCTCTTTGCTCCGCTCTCTCGCAACCGAGAGCAAAAGAGGAATTTCATCAAGTGTGTAAATGTCTCCGCGTGGCTTTGTCCTCGCTGGGGTTTTATTACAGTTTTTTTTTTTTTTTTTCAGCTCGCTTCAGTCGGAGGCACTGCTGCTGTAACAGCTGGAGGTGGAGGGAAGAGGAGGTGCCAGTGGTGTGTTGCTGCCCAGGGCTTTTCGAATATGGGGCATTAGGAAGGGGTCACTGGCCAACTGCAGCACATCCACGCGGTCCTCCTTGTGATAAGCCAGGCAACGTCGAATGAAAGCCTGTGAAAAGAAAGAGGGGAAAAACTGACTCGTTATTTCTGGAACTACTTTAATTTCTTTGGACTTTTTGCTGACACCGTTTTTTTCAAACATTTTGCATAATAAAATTTGAAATACTTTTGTGCCCTGCCTATTACAACAATCTAAACTACCCCTCTGCTCCTTCTATCAAATCAAACACTCTTAAAATATCCCATTGGTTTCAACCCAAACATCCTTTTTGAGCAAGAATTGTATCACACTGAGGAGTGAAAATGTCATTTCCTGTGGGCTTTAAAACTTAGCAGGTGATACTGTGTAAGGTTTGATGGGAACAGTGCATTGAATTTATAGCTTAAAAGATGAAATGAGCACACCTTTGCTTCTGTGGTGACCACAGGTTTGGGGGGAAACTGCACCTCAGTGGCTTTTAATATGGTGTTTTCTTGAAGGATATCCTGCTGCGACTGGTTATGGCCGAACGGCTGGAGGAAAGACAAAAGACAGACAGTTAACAGACAGATTACTTTCATTTTTCACATTGATTTAACACAATCTGACAACAAAATACCTGTTTAAGAATGCAAATTACAAGTTACCTTTCGTCCATATAAGCACTGGTAGAAGATGACCCCTACTGACCAAACATCCACCTTGTTGGATATTTTGGGGGGCTCCTTACCCACCACAAAGCACTCTGGAGGCAAATACCTGTAAACCACATAATAACATGAGACTGAAACAGGCTTTCCCTTTATAGAAGTTCTACTGACACTTTACACAATTTTCTCACGGAAGATGAGATGTGAAGTCAATTAGCAACATTTCTCTCAAAGAACGGGGCCCCTGCTACAAACATATTGGTTTCTTGGTTACTAAATGCAGTGAAATGTGTCTCTGTGTACCAGTAGGTCCCTGCTCCTTGTGAGGTCAGCTCCATGCCATCTGCAGAGTTGTAGCTGTCATCATCCATGATCTTAGACAGGCCAAAGTCAGTGATCTTAATCTCTCCACAAGCTGTGCCATTCACCAACAGGATGTTTCCTACAATCAGAACAGTAAAAGTAAAATTACAACCAAATCACTGTAAACAGCCTTTTTTGAGGAATATACACAATATATAATATTCATATATGCATACATTTATTTTAATTATAATCTAACCCAGATGCTTGTGGCGTTGCCTTTAATGAAAGATCACAGCAAATTGTCCAAAAGCACCAAATTCAGTTTAGTAGTGCTGTTTTTCATGATTCTTTAACCAAAGAGGACTACAACATGACAGGCTAAAACTGTGAGTATACCGGGCTTGAGGTCGTAGTGGATGATGGGCGGGCGAATCTGGTTGAGGTACTTGAGGGCGTTGACAATCTGCATGACAATAGAGCGGCCCTCCTTCTCGGTCATCAGCTTATTCTGCTTCAAGTAGAAGTCCAGATCATTGCCTTCGCAGTACTCCAGCACTGTGCAGAACCTGCCAGATATACATACAGCAGATCATTGGGAAAGTTTTCACTACTGATCACTGCAAATAATTCTCTGCAGGTTCAACACTACAGCATTATACGATGTTTAGCACTTAACATACACGTATATTTGTATTACACCTTTATGAGCTTCAGGCAGATCGATTCACTTACGAGTCCGTGTCAAGTGAGAAATAGTCATAGAGTTTGACTATTCTCGGGTGGTCCAGTTCTTTGTGGATTCTGTACTCTCTACAGGCGTGTCTGAAAAAACATTAAATATTTAGTGACGTTTAAAAAAACATTACAAACAAGAACAGTTAAAGACTTTTACACTGTAAAGCTTGAAGGTCCACCATGTCAAATTTCATTATAGATCAAAACATTCCCAACCACACAAAGAAGGAGGAGTAGGAACAGTGACCAGAGGTTCGGACTCACTTGTGGTAGTTTTGCTTCTTTTCTTCCCTCCAGTTCTTGTTGAGTTGATGGATTTTAATGGCAACATACCTTTGCTCTGTCAAATCAAAAGCCTGCAAAAGAAATAAAAATTACACATCAACAGCCTACAATAACCAGAAAGTTACGCTGTTTACTGGATAAGGGACTGTTCCAAGTCCCACTGCAATAACACTAACAAGTCAACGAGCCTCGTCTTAGGTTATTCAAAAAGCATACTAAAAAAAATATATTTAGAAACTGGTACTCTGGTAAATAATGGAAGACGAGAAAATGGCTTACCTTGAAAACTTCACTAAAGCCGCCTCTTCCAAGCAAGTGTAATAGCAGATATCGGTCGTTCAGTGTGGGGTGGTCTTTAAATCTACAGAAGAAGACTTTCTTAAATCACCTGGTTTTTTCTTAATTTTTAAGCAGACCACAGAACTTGTGTGAGGTACGTTTCACTGAGATGATACGTACTGCGAGTTGTCCTCGTTATGGATTCTCTTCAGCTCTCGAATGTGTAGATTTCTCACTCGTTCCAAATGCTCCAGCTCTGCCTGGATCTCTGCTTCTTCCTACATACAACCACACAAATCTATCACCTATTTCAACCCTCAATAAACAGGAACAAGAAACAGTGGTACTAGGTCTTCAGGTTACTTTGTAGTAACAGGTTGCATAAACAAATCCCAAAACAAGAAACAGCTTTAAGTGGTGAACTGGTACCTTTTTTAGATGACCAATTCGAAGTTTGAAAATCTCCTCTTGCTCATGATATTCTGCCAGTGACAACCTGTGTGGGGTAAAAAGTACCAACAGTTTGTAATGTGTATTATATTTGTGGAATATAACCAGGTCAGCTTGTGAGAAAAGAGCATAAATAAAATGATTACACACCTACTTCAGATAAAATGACGACGAAAAAAGGCGACACAAAAACCTCATAATGAAATTCGCACAAGAGTTATTACAGATCTATCTTTACAAGTCTCAATATTCAATACTCAAAATAGGGATCAGATTTTGCATCAATTTGATATTCTACTGTTAAAATAGTTTCTATTGAATGCTATTCATTACTCTCTCTCTCTAAATCTACAATACAAATACAAACAACAAAAATTTACAAATAAACAAACACCCATCCCAATACCAATTACCCTGAACACAACTTGAGCCCACACCACCGAGCCAGGTCAACCTCATCAGAAAACAATAAAATTCAACTTTGGGCTGGTCCATGTAAAAGTAAAAGTAATGTGTGAAGTAATTCAGCTATTGTTGGTAACCTTACGCTTCATTCTCCTGGCCGTTGCTCCTGCTCTTTCGTTTGTTCTGTTCAAGGCTGGGCGGAGGCGTCTGGGCCATGGAGGGAGGTTTCCTCTTTCCCAGCAGCTTTCTCTGCCTCTCAATGTCCTCTCGCTGCGAGTTGATCCGCTCTTGCTGCCTAGAACATGTAAGAACAATCTGGTGTGAACACTCTTGTATCCATAATGGACAAAATGCGAGCATATGGTTGCGCCTATTTGCATGCTGACTTGATGAGGTTCTGGAAGGCATATCCATCTGTCCACTGCTCAGTGAAGGAGGCTCCGTGCCGTACAGTCGTGAAATGGCCCAGACGCAGGCGGTCCTGCATGCTCTTGTCCCTGCAAGCCATCTTCTCCTGCTTTGACTACAAAAAATAAAAAAATAAATAAAAAAGATGATTATTGAATGCATGCACACTCACAAAACAGATGAACCAAGAGGATGCAAAAAGTATTTATTGCTGTTGAGTTCCACCATAATTATCATGAAACAGTTCAAAAGTTAGATG